ATCTCCGATGTAAGCAACTAAACATTGTTGCATTCACGCGGATTAATATTGCGGAAAATTTATTCGTTGATCTTGCATCTGATTACGCTTGTTTTATTTTAGAAAAAGGGAAGACAACCTTTGTGCGATAGTGTTCGATCCCATGAATGGTTTAATAATGATGATATAAATAGTTATGAGAAATGATTTGATTTTGTGGGAAAAAATAAACTACAGATGATTTCATTGGAATAGTGGTGACTCAGCATAACGTCGAAATCACAGAAATAGAAACGGAAATGGATTCCAAATTAGTTTGCTTCGCCGTCTCATCTCACATCATCCAGACTCAGCAGAGGACTTCGATTTTTCATCGTTCACAGTACATCAATTATGCTGCGGAATCCATGACATCAATGGTCTCCGTGACATGAAAAAATTTGGATCGGAAGTAATGATGAATCATGCCAACAAAAAAGTTTTCTCCAACTGATAATTTTCTCCAACTTCTTGGAACGAAATGCGAAAAATTCTGTAATGTCAAGTACTAAAATGCTTCCGATGGGATTCGAATTCGGAAGCAACGCAATTGAAGCCTAAGCCACAATTTATGTGTGCACTGTTGGACAGTTTATTTATTCCTATTTCATGAGTCACCACATCAGACGAATCGCTTTTCAGCGTTGAAAATTGTAAAGTAGTGCATTTTGAAAGAAGAAAATAAGAGAGCATTGAATGCTACGAGAAAAATTTGAAGAAATTCTGCCGGAGAATGTTCTTTGAACGCCGAACTGGAATTCGCTTCGTCGTAATTGTGCAACTCTTAAATTGCCAGCAAAACATTTCCTCGATGTAATTATCGAGTATTTACACTGAATTCACTCAATGGTTTCTTAAATTTACCTCAATGATTGTTCAATTTCCAATAATTATGTTCATTCCATACATTTTAACTTAAAATTTCGCTGCGAAAAAATTGCAATTCTAGATAAACGACAATCATCAATGTTGAGTGCTGAACTAAGAAGCCCTCGAATAAGCCTTTCATTAGGAGACTCAAAAATCCCGTATAACATGAAAACCTTTTTAAAGCAAAAAATTTTTGTTCACGCAATTCATCTCTTAACGACTTTCCATCTTCGAATATTAATTTAAAATTCTCTTTGCTTCATCTTCTCGCTCTAAATTATTCATGTTTGATGGTAAATCTGCTCCTATTCCATTCCAATTAGAGGAATGACACGAGTGAGTTAGCTCCGCGGCATCATGCACTAACAGGTTTCAATGGACACTTCTTTAGAGTATCATCTAACTATCCTGTAGATGGACTTCTGTTTGTGCAAACTTTAGTTACCAACATTGGCATAAATTCAATGCCGTCTATTTTTCAACGATAGCCAATAGCTCTCAAAAAATAAAGTGCATTTTGGAAGAGAAGATAAAACTGACTTTGAAATTGTACTTAATGAGAAAAACTTAATAAGCTCAATATGTTCGTTGGCTGTTGTTGAGAGGTGGACACTTAACTGATTAATGAATGTAATAACCACAAACGCTTCGTGTTCTACAATCAATTTTAAACGACCTTTCGAGCACTACAGTAATTTGGACCTAATGAATAGACATTTTTCACAATTAAATGATTCATCACTCATTCAACACTACTTCATTTCTTATTCTAATCCCGTGAGAACGTGATCTTAATGCTTTGTCCACAAGAACAACTACTGTTTAGAAAACTAATGCCAATTTCCTCTGAATATTCTTTGATTATTGCGCGGGGTATACGAGTCAGTGTTGTGCACTCAACAACCCGTCAAAATGAGATATTTATGATCAAACAAACATAGAAATTATATAAAATAAGTGCGTCATCAAATTTGCCCGTAATTATTGTTATTACTGTTGTAAGCACTCATAAAGTTGTTGCTAAATGAGTCTGTTATTCGGATTTGTTCGAAATTAATTAATTTGAAGATAATTTTAGGAACGATTTCTTGCGAATTTGTTATGAAACAAATCAATTGTGAGTTTTAAAAAAAACGAGAAGCGTAACTATCGAATACAACGCTTAATGAATATCAGAAATACGCACGGAACAATAACGAAAAAAGTTAACGCACTTATCGCTAATCCGCTAACAACCTAACGCCTAAATGCCCTATTCGCTAACACTAACATCACCAAAAAAATGGCGGAGCGCTATTGTTGATTCGCTAATCAAGCAGAGTAGTCAGCTATTCGGGATCGCTAATCCGCTATCGCCAAAAAAAATCCGCTATCTGAACATGATAGCGCGTTAATCGCTATCGCTAAACCGTTAATCCGCCAATAGCATGCCAGTGGATTGGCACGCTTATGTTCGTTTCATCTTCAATGAATATCAATCATTCGAACACTTTAACTGGAAATATTTTCCTGATGAGCACTTTTATGAATAGGTAATATTTTCCTGTGCATGACTAGATATTACATCAATCAGAATTCATAAAAATAAGCGGGTATTGTGCACTGATCATTTCTTTTTGTATCATTATTAAGGCTTGCTTGAAATTTGCAAGCGTCCAAGAGCAGAAATTCGTTAACTGCTTGCTATTTAGCAGAAGTTTTTCATTTTGCTAAAGAAGTGTCCATCTTAGCACACCTCTCAACAACAGCCAACGAACCTATTGAGCTTATTAAGTTTTTCTCATTAAGTACAGTTTCAAAGTCAGTTTTATCTTCTCTTCGAAAATGCACTTTATTTTTTGAGAGTTATTGGCTATCGTTGAAAAATAGACGGCATTGAATTTATGTCACTGTTGGTAACTGAAGTTTGCACAAACAGAAGTCCATCCACAGGATAGTTAGATGATACTCATCGATATATATAAGCAATATTTGCGTGCTCCACATTCCATTCAGTAATGGTTCATTCAATATTCCACATTCATTATTATTATTATTATTATTATATGGTTCATCAATAGTGTGGTACCAGCACTGACGAAAATATCGTGTTACATCACATTATATCTTCTAAATTTCATTGCCTTTTTGGATCGTCCAATGAAGTAATATATCAGCTGTTGTTTTTTTTAAAGAATCTCTTCAGTCTGTGGTATATTCCTTCAAATTGGTCTCTTCGAATCATGTGAAAACAGTTGATTTTTGCAGAATCGTTGCAAAAAATTCGAACCATTATAGAGAAATGAGCGAGGAAATGGAAGAATCAAAATTTAACCGCGTTGAATGAGGACTATGTATGTACCAATCAACAGATCAATTTAATGTAGGGTTTTTTTGGAGGGATTCTAGGATCCCGTGATCCCCACTTTTGAATCCGAATCCCGGTATTCAGAATCATCTCAGATTCTTGAAAATCCACGGATTTCGGGAGTTGATGAAATAATAACGCATTCTGTATGATTTAGGCAATATAGTCATCTGGTCGAATCACGCATTGGTCATTCCAAGCTAATAATTGCTGTTCGTCACATAAGCAGTAATGAAAAGATTAATCACTTTGTAATGTAATGTGTTGCGGGAATCGGAGAATTTCCGTGTAATGTGTTCCCAAATGCCCGTCTCTTTTTTTCAAGTCGACCGCACTTTCGGGAGTTACGTCCCCGATTTCCTGTCCCCTTCTTCGACTTTTTTTGAGCCGACTGCATTTTCGGGATTGCCGACACTGCACATCACCAGCTTTTTTTTACCGTGCCTGCAACACACTAGTACAATGGCGTCACGTCATCTTTC